TCGACCATCATCACAAAAATAAACATTTCTACAACCTGAATATATTTTCTATCAGTTGAAGCTTTATAAGTTGTGAGAGCAATCCTTTTTTCTCATCGCTCATAGTTACTAGGCAACAATTAGAGAAAAACATGAATGCAAGACACTGATAAAAATAACTGGAACCATTAGCAGTGTGTGGAAGAAAAAATAATTCGCACTGAAATTGTTATCTGGCCTGGCCCTCACTAGAAATATTATGGAATCCCAAACTTGTCCTTTGGTGAAAAGATGAAATACAACTTCAAATGAACAGAAACACGTCATCATCCACTGGAAACACTAGAAGTTGGAAGACAGATCAAGGATAAATGGTGTGAGGATGTGAAACTCGCATTGAAACTAGAGTGCAGTTTCAAAATGGTGGATAAGCACTACTGTGAATCTGTTACTATTCAGCCCAAAAAATACATATACATGTTTGTGGTCAATGTGTGCATCAGTTAAAAAACAACGTGAACATCACAACTTTTGATTTAGCTTTTCCCCAAATTTTAGAGAAAATGAAAGAAATTAAATATCATAAATTTAATAGAAATTTCAAAATATCAGTAAAAAACTGCCAATATACTCTGATTTTTGAAACAAAATGAACAGAAACTTGTTTATTTGTAAGCCCTACAACTAGTATGAAAGAACTGCATTCTGATTTTAATAATAAATTGATGTTTATTGTAGTTACCCTATTTATTACTATGTTATCATAAATACTACTAGAACTGTCATATGTTATCATAAATACTACTAGAACTGTCATATGTTATCATAAATACTACTAGAACTGTCATATGTCATCATAAATAGTTACAATAGGTCTGATGCATGGCCCCCTAAAGGGTCACACATCCAGCAACTTTCCTGGGAAAAAAATTAACTACTGGTGTGAATAATTTCCTCATTATTTTTTTTTTCAAAAACAGTTTAAAAGCATTTTTCATTTAAATTCAACATTGCAAAATTTCATGTGCCAGGATGTGTGACATTTAGGGGTCAGCATGTGCCAGGATATGTGACCTCTAGGGGTCAGCATGTGCCAGGATATGTGACCTTTAGGGTTCAGCATGTGCCAGAATGTATGACCTTTAGGGGTCAGCATGTGCCAGGATATGTGACCTTTCAGGGTCAGCATGTGCATGGATTGGTGACATTTAAATGTCTTTGCAATTTTTTTGAGGCAAATCACATTCCATTTACTTACATTAAATTATTATTCCCATTCCTGAAGTGTATTTGAATTGTCCATGAAGTAAAAAGTTGATATGTCCTATTTTATTCATGAGTTTATTGGCATATGTATATATACAGGTATGTTCTTTGAATTTATTCACGTATGTTGGCACAATTTTCTTTGATTGCCTGTTATGTGTATCGTACATCTGGTCTTTGACATTTGGTGTTTTTTAGCTTGTTTATGAAATTTAAATAATTATTGTTGATTACCTTCTTTTCTCTTCAACCTGGTCAGTATTAAATAATTAAATTATGAATGTTGAATGACCATATTATTTTTGAACAATTTATTCAAACCCGTACCAGGAAGAATTGAGAATGTAGACTGTATTTTCTCTGACATACATCTATCACAGGTTGAATCTCAATCTCAGTGCTTGAGCAGTGTACTGTGTTAACCCAAACTCTGATCAATAATGTGCCGATGAAAATATGATTTGATTATGGATTAAGTCAACACGCTAGGATTGCAGGAGTTGTTGCATGGATGGAACACAACATTGCAGAGAACATCTAGTATGGTCTTTGTGTTAACCTTTTCATCACCAGTTCCTTCTTTTCATCACAAATTCACAAAATAGTCCTGTTAATAGTCAGCACTGTCCTTCAGAAGATTGGGACAAAAATAGCCACATTTTTTTTAGTACAAACTGAAAATTTACTCATTGACAAATTTTGTCTGTTGGCTCTAAAATTAGGGTTCATTTT